TTTGAACTGCAAGGTCGGCAGTTCATGCTCACCAGCTGGTTCCTCGGAAACCCTATACAGGGGGACTATGGGTCGGAATCGACTAGACAGCACTTCACAACAACAACCTATGTATGAGGGGCCTTCAAAAAGTTCATCAAAAGCTTAGAAAATCTTTTTTTTTTTTTTAAGTTTTTATTGTGAATTAAGTCAAAGTTTACAGGTTAGATCATCAGTTTTACATTCAATAAATCACATACTTTGTTTCACTACAACGATTATAAGACCTTCCATGTACCATCAGTTAACAATCAGGGTCACTTTGGGTCGGAACCAACTCGATGGCACTTAACTCAATGTACCATCAGTTAATAGTACTTCTCTCTCTTTACTTTAGCTCTTTATTTTTTTTTCAGTATTTCTCTGTATTCACTTTAGCCCTTTTTTTAACACTCACACATATATAATAATTAAAACCACTAAAGGGCACATTCTGCAAGACTGCCTCCTGGCTGCCAGTTAGTTCTCAGTCCCTCTCTTTTCCATGAATCTAGGGTCCTCAGCTGCTCCCTCTCTCCATGTCCCCATTTCTGCCTCCATCTCTGCTGTTGCTGCTTCTCTGGATAAGGTTGCACATTCCGCTTGTGCTCTTCTCCCTTGATGGTCCTAGGGTCTTCCGTTTCTGGACTATAAGATTAACTACTCCTCTGTTTTTGTTACAAAACTTCTTCCTTTACAGTTGTGACAGTTGCAATTAGTCCTGATAACAATTACTCACTATTGAATCATAAGACTCTTATCGCCACCTCTTTTTACCAGACCCATCTAGACAAGATGAAAACTATTCAGTGGGGACTCTGTCTTCCCTGGCACACTCTTAAACTAAACTTCCTCTTGAAACCTTGTAAGCCAGTCACTTTGTGCCTTTATCACCCCCTCATTTTAGGTAGGCAATGTCTAAGTTGCTCGTCCCTCCCTACCCTGTGTACAGAGGAGATAGCATTGACACTTGATGTGAAGACTCTTTCCCTCTCTGTTGGTTATTTGAGCTACTACATCCATGAGTATAGGTCAAATTAATCCAATTGTAGAAATTTACCCTCGTTTCCTTTATCTAAAAAGTTTTTATTTTTTTTATTATCCTCTAGTCGAGTTCTGAACATCAAGTCATTAAAGTTAGGTCAAATGGGGACTATCTGCAAATATGGGTGCCCAGTATCTTTTTTTTTTCCCCAGTATCTTTTCATTCCATTTTCCCATGAACTTTCTATAGCACCCTCATACATGTATGCATATAGATATAGCAACATTTTATTGATGAATCATCTATTAATCTGAAATTCCCAGGTAAGAAAGCAGCATATATTAAATTTACATTATTAAAATAATTGCCAAGGAGTTCTGGTAGCGTAGTGGTTATGAGTTGGGCTGCTAACCTCAAGGTCAGCAGTTTGAAACTACCAGCCATTCCATGAGAGAAAGATGAGGCTTTCTGCTCCCATAAAGATGTACAGCTTCAGAAATCCTATACAAGCTCACTATGAGTCGGAATTAACTCTATGGCACACCACTACCACTACCAAAATAATTGCCAAGGATGTTTTTCCCTACACTTTCCTTAGACTCTATAAATAAAAAACTATCTAATCTTCTTATTGTCCAAAAAAGATGATTTACTGAAAAGTATAAGCACAGCTGTGATTTACCATATTTTATGCTAGCAACTTTAAAACAACATATTTTGAAGGCTAGCATGACTTGTTAACATAACTACAAATTAGTTAACATACCTTTTGGGGCTTGAAATCAAATTTCACACAGTGCTGAAAGCCTTTTCCTTTTGACTTTATTGATGTTATAATCAAACAGCCTCCAACAAAGTGAGCAGAATAGCCAAGACCTTTGCTGGTTCTGAAACTAAGAAGAGTAAGTTTTCATTTTATCACTGAATAGTTTCCTCTGTTTCAAAGTAAGGTAATAACACTGGTCAGTTATAGAAATACATACCAATATAAATATGGTTTATCCTTATCCACATTGATATTATTTACAGGATCCATTCTAAGCCAAGTATGAAATGTAAAACCATTCTGGTATGGCCATTTGGCAATAGGAGGTAATGCAATCGCCTATAGGAAAAAAGCTTTAAGTTACTGACTCACATGAAAAGTTTTATTGAAATCATGAAAATGAGACTCTACAATGCTTTATGTGTTTCTATTACATCATACTCTCCTATGTCATGATTAAAATATCTGGAAGGCTTTTAATAACTTCTGTGTTTCCCCAAAACACATAGTTATGATGCTGACCTAATGAAATGAAAGACACATTAAGTGTGACCTGTTGAATACACTGGTCTTGTTTCATTTCTTAGAATAAGCGTATTCAGGGATCCCAAAATTTAAGAGAGAAATAGTGGCACCAATTGCAAATCTCTTGCTGAAAATGTTAAGGGCTTAGAATAGAGAAGAATGAACAAGAATGTAATGATAAGAGTAAAATTAAAATTTGGTATAGGCTTCATTTTTAAAAACAGAAAAAGGATTAATTCATTCTGAGGTGACTATACAAATAACTTTACATCTTGGATTAAAATTTTAAAGATTGAAGAACATAAAGAAAGCCAAAACAATCTTTGTTTGTTTGTTTATTTGTTTGTGAAAACCAACAGTTCACACTTTCAATTTCAAAACTCACTTAAAGCGACACTGTGGTACTGGCGTGAAGACACACATAAAGATCAATGGAACAGAACCAAGAGCACAGAAGTAATTACTATATACTTATAATCAAGTGATGTTCAACAAGGATGCCAAGATAATTCCATGAGGAATCGTTTTTTTCAATGGCTAGTTGGATTTCTACATGCTAAAGAAGAGAATAAAGTTGAGCCTCTTCTTACATGTTGGTAAGTGCTGCAGAGTCAATTCCAACTCACAGAGACTCTGTATAGTGTTTCCAAGGCTGTAGATCTTTACAGAAGCAGACAACCTCAACCTTCTCCCAGTGCGGTTAGTGGGTTTACACTACTAACCTTGTGGTTAGCACTCCTGTGCTTATCCTACCGTGCCACCAGGGCTCCATTTGTAATTATAAATCCCATAATATATTCTTGTTGTTTTGTCCAAGTATGAATTACCTTTTAAAGATACTTAAATTATAAGGAAAGTATTATTTTCTCATATATATATTATGGCTCATGATCCGTCTTTCTTCATACAGCACTCCATTTTCTTCCAGTGTGAATTCCCTGTTTTGTCCTAAGGAAGTGCTTTTACACTTTAGCATTACCTGTATTAAAAAATCTTAAGTTTATCTTCACTTTTGTTATCTTTATTTTTATTCTTCTGATGGTTCAGTACATTTCAGATTATCTACACTGTTCTCACTTGTATACTTTGCATTGCTACTTGATGCCACAGATTGAATTATGTCCACAGAAAGTGTGTGTTGTGATTCTCAGTGGTTTGGCTGTTATGTAATGATATAATGTGACAGTTTGTTACATGGTACACAGAAATTAACTCCAAATGCATCACCTATCTAAATGTAAAAAATGAGAGAAAATCTTTGTAAATTTCAGGTTAGGGAAATCTTTCTTAAGACATGACACCAAAAGCACAATCAACAAATGAAAAAAACTGGGCTTCATCAAAATTTAAAACTTTTGTGCTTCAAAGGACGCCATCAAGAAAGTGAAAATACAACTTACAGAATGAGATAAATCATTCAAATTATATGGCTAAAGAGGGGTTTGTATCCAAATTAAATAAAGAATTCTTCCAATTCAATAACAAAAAGATCAACATTCTGAGTTAAAAAACAGTAAAAAATCTGAAAAAATATTCAACTAAAGAAAACATATAAATGACCAAAAAGCACAGTAAAAGATGCTCAGCATCATTAGTCACTACAGAAATGAATAACACAACCACAATGAGATACCACGGCACACTTTCTAGGATGGCTATAATCAAAATGTCAAATAATAACAAGTGCACAAAAGGATTTAGAGAAGTTGAAGCCTCATACATTTCAGACTGGATTATAAAATATACAGTCAATTTGGAAACAATCTAGCAGTTCCTAAAAAATGTTAAATATAGACCGTATCACCCAGCAATTCCATTTTTAGTATACACCTAACAGAAATGAAAACACATCCACATAAAAAGTTCTTAACAGTACTGTAAGAACACAAATATTAACAGAATTATTCCTAATAGCTAAAAGAGCGGAATAAACCCAAATGATCATTAATTTATGATTAAATACACAATATAATGGAGTATTATTCATTCATAAAAAAGGAATCAAGTACTGATATATGCTACATCATGGCTAAACCACATTGCTAAATAAGTAGGTCACAAAATATCACACTATTACTCTGTTTATCTGACATGTCAAGAATAGATATATTTATAAGACATATAAAGGTCATACTATAAGTAAGCACAGGCAGCAAACCACATGGTCCATTGTTCAAACCCACCAGCCACTCCTCAAGAGAAAGATGAGGCTTCTTGCTCCTGTGAAGATTTAAAGTCTTGGAAACTTGATAGAGGTTTGCTATTAACAGGCTCCACATGACGTAGTGGTTACTAGTTGGGCTGCCATCCTCAAGGTCAGCAGTTAGAAGCTACCAGCGGTTCAGTGGGAGAATGATGAGGCATTCTGCTCCCATAATGATTTACAGCCTCGGAAACCCTGTGCAGGATCACTATGAGTTGGAACCGACTCCAAGGTACTTAACAACAACAACAGCACTTAACAACAACAACATAGGTCACCTACAGTTGGCAGCATGAAAGGAACTAGGGAGTTACTCCTAATGAGTAAAAAGTTTCTTTTGAGAGTGATACAAACATTTAAAATTTAGATTTTACACATTTCAGTACTTACACTAAAATCATTATTTTGTACACCTCAGTGAATATATAAAAACCATTAAATTGTACACTTCTAATGAGTGAATTGTATGCTATCTCAACTTATGCAAATAAAACTGTTTAAAATAATCACGGTATACAAATGTGTTTTACTATTATTATAACACATGAAGGTAAGTCAAAAAGTATTGCTTCTGGGGTTCCAGTTTATATATGTACATATTTATTATAAGAAAAAAATGTGTTAAAACAAGTCTCTAATCAGTGGAAGATACCTTGCAAACAAGCTCTGCCAGTAATGTACTTTAGTCTAATTAGGGTGCCTTAAAAAAAAAAAGTCCACTCAAAAGAGGTAACAAATCTTTACGAGGATGATTCCCACCTCCTCCAAACACAGGGCAGACTCAAAACTGGGGGGCTACAAATGCAAGAAGTGACTGTCTTACAAGATTTCAAGAGGGAGCCTAGATCCAGAGGGCGTGGAGGAGGGTAGAATCTCCACTGAGTAGTAGCTAATCTGTCTAGGCAGGGTTGATGAAAGGAGATGGGGACAGGGCTCTTGTGGTACAACAGTGAAAAATTGCTATCAGGCCTGACTGGGAGGGTTAGAAATGTAAAGGTAGACATTTTGTAGCAAAGGAAGGGGAGTGGTTGACTTTGCAGTCCAGGAGCGAAGGGACCTGGAACCATTAAGGCAGAAGAGAGGAGTACAACACCCTGAAAAGGAAACAGTGATGCCAGAGATTGAGGCATAGACAATGACATGGAGAGATGGAGCTGTTGGGGACTCTAGACCCAGAGAGGGAGAGGGGCTGTGTGCTGACAACCGAAGGGCAGGTTTGCGGGGTATACCCTTTGGTTGGCTGATGATGAATGGAGGGGATTGTAACCATGGCAATGAAACTATATATGATAGGATGAATGTAAAGTTAATATTCTCCCATGTAAACGATCACATAATTCACAAAACATTTTTTTTTAAATCCAATCAAAACGGCAAATTCTGAGGAGATATGCTGTGCTAGCTAAATTCAAGGCACAGAGGTCAGCTCAGAAAATTATGGACTCTGTTTTTGGGGATGCCAAATGAGTCATCTTGATAGATTTTCTTGAAAGCACAGGACATGATCATAGGAACTTATTAAGAACAACTTATAAGAAAACTGCATCGGTGAGACAAGGCCAGGACAGTTTCACTGAGAAATCTTTCTCCATCACAACAATGTGCTTGCTCATTCATGGAGGGTACCAAGAGCTATCCTGCATGAATTTCATTGGCAAACTTTCCTTTACCCACATTTCAGCTCTGATCTTGACCCTTCAGATGTCTTTTTTTTTTGCAGTTGAATTAATGAATTTATTGTTCTATGTGCAAAGACAATTGGTCATGGTTAGAAAGACAGAGGTGACATTTATCATCAAAAAATTCCCAATCCACATTTCATAATGTGTCCATTAGATACATAAACTGATCATTTCAATGCCAAGTGGAAAGATAATTGAGGCATGCATTGTTTGCACAGAAGCAGGTATCTAAGCGGGTCTGTTGTTGCTAGGTGTCATCAAGTCAATTCTTTTTGTTCCCCAAAGACAAAGAACTTTTAAAAGGAACACAATCTGAGTTCCACGAAGATGCCAAAACTATCGTTTTGACATGGTATAAATTGAAAAGCACAAAATTCTATGGGAGAAAGTTAAAGAGATGGAAATGCCACCTTCAGAAGGGTAAAGACCAAGATGGAGGACATATCAAGAAACAATAGATTCACATTTTGATATTTTAGTTTTATAAAGGTTTCAAAGATTTTACAGCAATACTTTTTTACTTACCCTAGTATGTACATCATATATACACATATATATTATCTTATATGTATTGAATATGCCCTAAAATATAGGGCCAAATTTATGTAAAAACCCAACTGAGATTTCAAGAGACAGATTTAAAATAATATTTCCGTTAAGGAAAACATATTTGGAGTTCATGTATGAGAGTGGCAATGTAAAAGTTTTAGAAATATATTTAACCATAAGTACTTTTATTTTTCTTTACAATACATGTGTAAGGAAAAGAAAGATTCACTGAGTATGTTTAACCATACATTCCTTAAAAGTTTAAAGCTGTTTAGCTACACTGTTCTACTTTTAAGATAAATGTAGATAAGTGGAATGGATACTTTATGATCCCAGAAACCTATAAACAATCAAATCATAGCATGATGTGGGATTATAAGAATGTCATAAAGACATTCTTTTATGTTAGAGGATAGTAAAGTTATTCTGGGAAGATTCAAATTTAAACTATTCAATAACAAAGAAATAATAAAGGAAAAAATATAAGCAACAAAACTTTCCTAAAATTGTGTATATAACACTCAAATTTCACAAATGTGCTTTTAAAGCGTACCTGCATCTTCCTGTAAATACTGTTTGGCTATTTAGGACCTGATAAACAAACAAGATCTTATGAAAATCAGAATGAATATGAGTGCACTATGAGCTCAGAAATAGAACTGACTTAAATATCAAAGGAGATTTCTCTTGAAACAGGTAGATCAATGTAATAATGACTTTAAAAAGTTCCCATAAAAAAACTTTTTTTTTTTTAAGCATCGTTGAGTTAGTTACGACACATAGCGTTCCTGTATAGGTTTTCCAAGGAGTGAATGGTGGGTTTGAACTGCCAACTTTATAGTCCAGTGCCTATCCTACAATGCAACATCAGGACTCCACAAATAACATATACATATATAATGTACTCCTATGACATTTGAAACATTAAAGATATTACTACCAGACATAATTTTCTTCTTTATAAATAGATTAAAGATCTGTAAGTAAGAATGGCTAAGACTGATATAATTTGGAAACTGAAATGTTAGGAATATTTGCCTAGTGAGTTTAAAGAGTTACTGTAAATTTAAGAAAAGGTTACAAAAGAGACAAGGATAGGGAAACAAGAGGCTAAATAAAGATACTCAGAAAAATAGAAAATTAAGGTGTCAAACTATGGCGATGAATTCATAGGTCAAAATAGCATACATATAATTCAAAAAAAATTAAGAGCGTGTTCATTGTTGCCCTCAAGCCATGACTGGGCAGCTTTCTTAACCTAGCTAAACCTTAATTTCATCACATCACCTCTAAAACAGGAGGAGTCCTGGTACGGCGCTGTGGGTTAATGGGCCAGACTGCAAAGCCATTTGAACTGCAAGGTCAGCAGTTCACGCTCACCAGCTGCTCCTCAGAAACCCTATACAGAGTCGTTATGGGTTGGAATTGACTGGATGGCACTTAACGACAACAACAACAAAACAGGAGAAAGTTAACATGTCAAGTGATTTCCTCTCTACCATGTACTTACTGCAGCACTCTTTCCTGGAAAGTTGAAAAAGGCATCAGGACCGTACTTCTGAGGCATGTGCTTTAACACAGACAGCAACTTCCCAGCATGTGGAGGCTATAAAAACAATCAACAATTTATTCACTACATTAGTCACAATTTCTGAATTTTAAAAAAATAAATCCATGTATTAATATACAAGTAGTCCCCAACTTATAAAAGGGTTCCATTTCAAAGGCACTGTTGTTAACTTAGTCCTGAGGTAAGTTAGTATCTTTTTTTTTTTAATGTTTTCATTATTATTGCCTTTTACCAGTATGTTTTTAATTTGATCTTTCTCTGTCTTTGAGTGTTAGAAACACTGCATATAAATTTACAGATATGGTGACAACGCAAACTGCCCAAAGTAACATTTTGTGTAGTGCATAATACAAATGATAAGGTATATTAAAAGGAAAAAAGGATAGTAGTACATGTGATTCATCAGGACTCAAATGCATCTAAGTCAGGAGCTACCTGTACACAAGAAACAAATAACGCTATAAACTAAAAGTCATTAACGGATCCATTCCAACTCAAACAACTTAATAGAACAAAACAGAATTGTACCACAGGGCTTCCTATTGTCTTTGAAATAAAAAAACACCTTGTCATGGACTCCTCATGCAGCTCATGAGAATCAGCACTGAACTGCAAACCATAAGGTCAGTAATTTAAATCTACTCGTGGAAAACCTTATACAGGGTCACTATGAGTCTGAACCAACCTTTATCACTGTTGTTGGTAAGTGCCCTGGAGTCCATTCCAACTCCTGGTGTCTTTGGGCTTCCAAGGATCTACTAGTTAAGTTTGAATCTCTGACGTGGTGGTTCAAACCAACTTGTGATCCTGTACTTATATTACACATTCACAACAAGACTTTATCACAGAAAACAAGATACTACAGAGTTCAGGCTAAAGCTGAAGAAAATTTTAAAAAATGGTTAGAACCAAAATGTTGTTGTTGTTGTTGTTGTCAGATGCCATCGAGTCAGAACCAACTCATTGCGACCCCATGCACAGCAGAACGAAACAATGTCCGATCCTGAGCCAACCTCACTACCGCTGCCACATTTGACGTCATCAATGATGCCACCTGGCCAATCCATCTCATTGGGGGTCTTCCTCTTTTCCTCTGACCCTCCATCTTACCCAGAATGACATCCTTCTCCAGCGATTGTACCCTCCTGACAATATGTCCAAAGTATGAGAGACGAAGGTTAGCCATCTTGGCCTCCAAGGAGTACTCTGGCTGCGCTTCTTGCAAAACAAATCGATTGGTTCTTTTGGCAGTCCATGGCACTTTTAGTATTCCCCCTCCAACACCACAATTAAAGGCATCAATTCTTCTATGATCTTCCTTATTCACCGTACAGCTTTCGTATCCATATGAGGTTATTGAAAATACCACGGCTTGGGTCAGGTGCACCTTAGTCCTCAAGCTGACATCTTTTCTCTTCAACACTTTAAAAAGTTCCTGTGCAGCACATTTGCCTACTGCAATACGTCGTCTGATCTCTTGACTGCTGCTTCCACGAATGTTGATAATTGATCCAAGAAAAATGAAGTCCTTGAAAACTTCAATCTTTTTGCCATTGATAATAATGTTGTTTATTGGTCCAGTCGTGAGGATTTTTGTTTTCTTGACATTGAGATGTAATCCATACCAAAGGCTTTGATCATCAGTAAATGTTTCAAGTCCTCTTCAGTTTCAACAAGCAAGGTTGTATCAACTGCATATCGCAGGTTGTTAATGAGTATTCCTCCAATCCTGATGCCACGTTTTTCTTCGCAGAACCCAGCTTCTCGTATTACTTGCTCAGCTTACAGGTTGAACAAGTATGGTAAAAGAACACAACCTTATCGCACACCTTTCCCAATTTTAAAACGTTCAGTGTTCCCATGCTCTGTTCAAACAACTGCTTCTTGGTCCAGATACAGATTTCTCAGAAGTACAAT